ATATAATGGAATAAAAGCAATATATAAGTCATAAAATAGTCGGATAGTTTTGTCTCGTTGTTATAGCTATCAAATAGATGAAACATACTCGACTTTTTAAATTAAACTCCACATACTCATGTTTACACTGGATAGAAGTAGGAGTTACTTATATTTACACCCTATAGTTAAACCACCATATAAACACATTTTATACACCAACAAATTTGTGTTATGATTTTACAATGCTTAAAAGCCTATATAATATTGTTACTACCCACAAATGCCGGCATTAGTGTGTCCGTTATTTCCCAAATTGATTTTTGACTCTGCAGCGCCCCTAAAATTTTTAGTAAATGCCCTAAAAAAAATTATGAAACTCATATGAGCTCTTAATATTGATAATAACCCGTGCCGCAAAGACGATTCATTTCCCGTTTAAATAACATGGAGTTTTCGTACTTTTTGCTATTAATTTTTTCTTTGCGAAGCCGGTTGATATAATGCTGCGGCATCAAATTATTTTTGTAGGAAATTGAACGTTCTACAAAAACTTTTTCTGAAGTTTTGCAAAAAAATCACTAGCGTCAAAGTTATTCAAGGTCAAAGTTCAACTAAAAATAAATTTTTATTTTTTTTTCGAATAAAAATTTATTATTGTTTACATAAAAATTTATTGTTTTTTGCCGAAATTATCTTATTTTAATAAGATAATTAATAAGATTTCACTATAACTTTCATGAAGAAACCAAATTTGTGGCTACGCATGAATGCAAGATACAATACTATCCGGCGTTGTGTCCGGCTATAGTCTGTTATTGTCCAAAATGTTCTGTTGTCGAAAATATTTGAGGTGATTCTGTTATTAATATTTCATAGTTACATGTGACTCATATTAATATTTGGATTCAGTGGTGTATACATTGTTATCAAAGACATTTTTGATATTATAAATACATAAATTTATATTTTCCGAAATTGTTTTGATTTACAAGGAAATGAAAAGAGCTTGCGAGAAATTTGTTTATTTCTTGTCTTTATATACGTTCCATTTTGGTATACGGCACCATTGGCTGCGACTGCTCCGAAACAAGATCTTGATTTTCTTAAAGCAGTTTATAAATATCGATCAATTGATAAAAAGTTATCCGACGCAGTATTAGCGAAATTCAAAAACCATTTGTGGTATTTAAGTCCAGAGGCAGCAGCTTTGTCATTTTTTGACGAAAATATTTCGTCTGATATGAAACAGAAAATGGTGGCGGCTCTGACGTCAAGTGGAGAGGATCAGTTGGACTTTCCTAAACGCTTTATTTTCAATTCAGGAGATTTTGATTGGTTTCTTGACAAAGATGTCGATTATTTTATTAATTATGATTCCGTAAAATTTTTCGAAAGATTCAACATCGATACAGACTTTCTCCAATTGGATTTCAGGAAGTGGTCAGACCATCCAGATTATTTAAAAGGTTTCGAAATCGTTAAGCATTTGAAAGTGGTAAACGATTCTGCGGAACGAGCTGTTAAACTAACTGAAGAATATATTAATACTTTAGCTAAGAACGAAGATCAAAAACAATATGTCATTCAGATTGTAAGTGAATATAAAAAAAAAATTTCCAAATGCCACCAAAGAATGTCTAACAAAATAAAATATGATTGTTAATTTGTTTGAAAATTTATCAAATTATTTACATTTTACTAATAAAACTTGTAATTATATTAAGGTTATTAATATATTAAGGTTAACTTACATCGTAATTAACATTTACTTTCAGAGAAATTTTTTGTAGAACGTTCAATTTCCTACAAAAATAATTCGATGCCGCAGCATTATATCAACTGGCTTCGCAAAGAAAAAATTAATAGCAAAAAGTACGAAAACTCCATGTTATTTAAACGGGAAATGAATCGTCTTTGCGGCACGGGTTATTATCAATATTAAGAGCTCATATGAGTTTCATAATTTTTTTTAGGGCATTTACTAAAAATTTTAGGGGCGCTGCAGAGTCAAAAATCAATTTGGGAAATAACGGACACCCTAGCCCGCATACTAATTATTAAACTGGTAAACTTATTTTGCATGCTTAGGTTAACCCAAAATCAATAACAGATGAAATAATTGAATATCTTAACGCCACAAATTGGGCATATTAAAGGCTAATTACAGATATTTGATGAAATGTGTAATCTACGTAAATGCATAGTTTTTGGCTCTTAAGCTTTTTTGATATATACATGCAAATTTGGACATCGGTTATTGCATAATTGAGCGTCTAAATGAGAACTTGGCGTTAAATAAATCAGCAAACGCTTCGTTAAGGCATTAAGTACCCTAAACAGGGGTTGCGAAATAGCAGTTAAAATATGTGTAGACCTTGTGCTAGTAGAAAATTATTGAATAATACTTCAGCCATGAAAAAATTAAGCGTGCAATTTCAATGCCATTACAGACCGACAATTAATATCCGGTTTGCGATATCCGCTCGATTAAATAAAAACGCCGGAGGCCACGAAATTTTTGGTATTGAAAATAATTCGAAATAAAGGGGGACTTAAAATATATAAGCATTTCTTTTTTATGGGTTTGAGATTAGAAACATAACTAGCAAGCATTATATATGTTAATGTATAACGCGAATTTGCTAGAGATCCAGAAATTTTTCATGAACATGTTTGGTTTATTTATTATTAAAATATTTTATATATATTTTTTTATTATTATATGTAATTTTTATTAAATACATTGTCTAAAAAATGTGCCACACAAAATTTAGTTCGCTATTTTTGCAACAAAATTCAATTATATGCAGGAAAATCTGAATAAATTTTATACAGTGGCAATATTTTCATTCTATGCAGATCACATTAGATCCGCACATTTTAAAATATAAAAAATGTTTACCAGAAACACCTACCTCACTGGCCCTAAACAAGTGACGTTATTTCCGGGTGGGTTCTAGGACTACTTGACACGAACTAAGTCGAACAAATTGTATGCTCTAAGACGTTATTTGATCGACACAAAGCTGTTGGTATGCGACATAGCAATGGTGGCGCCAGAACACCTACTTCGCAGGTAACAATGAGAGAATAAACTACGAATTAGTAGCATCTTGCATTGTAGCATTGTAGAAAAAAGTTTTGTCTTCTAATGATGATCACCTATTGCAAAAAAAGTACATCAAAAGCAATAGCTTCCGATTTGAAGACATCAGAAAAAAAATCAACGATATACATTAAGACCTCTCCTCAATTGATAATATTGGTTAATATCTTTTAAAATCCTAAGTGCTTGTAGTAAATACCAAATCTATATGATGTCTCTTGAGTTCTTTTGTGACTCAAAGCATTTGAAAAGTATCCAACAATTCAGAAATCACCGAAACTAGTTTCACAACTATTCAAGTAATCCCAAAAAATATTGCCTTTACTTTGTAAACTAGTTACAACCTCTCTTAGGGATCCACTTAATTTCTTTGAGGGATTTCTGATATAAGCATGCGACGTACGCACTCTGAAAGAACGTCCCTACATATTGGCAGCTGTTCATACTCTAGACTTCGAAGCTCGTTTAAATATTGTACAATTAAAGAGAGCGTTATAGGCAAATTTCTCAACTTTCCTAAACTGTCCCGCACCAATGTAACTCCTTTAATACATTTAAATATAATATATACACGTAGCAAATTGCTTGGCATTCGTTTGCTAGAAAATATGCGAAAACTCTTTGTTTTTGTATTTCCATACGCAATTTTATACGAGAAAATTTGCAAGTTAACAAAATTGTGTGAATATTATTGCATTCACAACAAATTGGAGGAAAAACCAGCAACACATTTTAATATTTATAGACATGTGCCGAGCATATACCGAGTTAGTACGAATATACATATACATATGTTACAATGACAGTGTTAGCATATACATAGTGAGTGCGGGATATATACCCTACAATAAATTGTGCGAGTAATCTTTAAAGAGAGTACACCCAGAATGCTCGCTATGGTATAAAATTGGGAATGTATTAGCCTCCAACATATATCTTTAGGTAATATAAGTTATTTATATTTATAGTTGGAGATAGACTAGTTGTGTCTTTATTTACATTTCTCTTCAAGGCAAACATGCATAAGAAATTATGGAAATTATTATTAATTGCATCAAAGTTTGTAACACACAGAAGGAAATGACAGAATCCCTATAAAATATATATACGAATATATATATGCTGTTTTCTTCTTATGAAACGGTTCATGTGTCGCACACGCCGATATCGGACCACTATAGCGTATGAAAAATTTTCTTATTTGACAAGACCTCTTCACGAAATTTGGCATGGATTATTGTGCAAGGCAACGGTACAACCTCCGAACAAACTTTTCACATCGGACTACTCTAACATATAGCTACCATACAAACTGACCGATCAAAATCAAGATAAAGGTTTATTTATACCATTTTATGTTATAAGAAAGGCACCTGTGGAGGGTAATACTTGTATAGCTTCGGGACAGCCGCAGTCAACGCTGTTTCGTACACTCTTTAAGATTAGTCGCATTTTGTAAAGTTTCGGGTGTAAAAGGGTACAGGGTATTATGCTCAAACAAAAACAAACACAGTTCTTACATATAACAATATCAAATATACCGTTAGTCACATGTGCTTTTGCGACTAAAAGCGGACTCATCCCGGACTTGTCGCATTCTATACGGGTTATAAAGTGAGCACTAGTATCTATGCATGTTTTAAAATAAAGCAATTTATATTAATGCATGAAATTGAATATCGAGTAAACAAAATATGCTGTCTCGATATTTACTTGTATTTGTACCAAAATGCAACTCTGTGTGCACATCAGTTTATATATTAGGAAATTGCATATTATATTTACTTTTGTATATTTATTTTTTAAGAAATTTCTATAAAATTGTATTAGTTGCATATTTTATTATTAAGACTGCGAGTGCAATCCAGGAAAATGGATGCTTCTAACTCTATTTAAAAAACAACAACAACAATTCATTTGCAAATATGTACAACTTTCTTAAGATTTTTTATTAAGAATGGATGTGCGCTATAAAGGATTCATAACGTTGAAAGCAAATTATTGAGAGAATATCGTATGTTCATCGTCAGAATATTCTACTTCTGACGATGAACATACGATGATGATACTGTTTTTTGTGCCTTCTTCTAATGGCACGGAACTTTAGATTTAGTAGAAACTGTAAGTTTAGGGTCTGTAAAGACGGATTTTTGTTAAGAACTGTTACAGAAAGCTCCGGAGGCCGTTTTCTCCTCAAGAAGCTGCTCATTTGTTGGAACCGCCGATAAAAACTGAACTATCAAAATCAAGTTCTTGTATGAATAATTTTTGATTGTAAAACGTATTATAATTTCGGTGCACCCGAATTTTTTAGCAAGACTTCGTCCCCCCATTGTCAAATTTCGAATTAAATACCCCTATTACGAAAGGCTAGTGCATTATAGTTGTCGTTGTATTTGCGTTGGATACTGAAACAGAATTGTTATTTGCGGAACGCTACAGAAGCCAGTCAACTTGAAACCGTTGATAACCACCCTAAGTTTATTTTTTTGTGAAGTGTTTCGACAGAAATCGTTAAATGAAACATAAAGAAATGGAGAACACCGACTTAAGTCAAATATGCACCATTTTGTTCTATAACTTGTTAACAATTTGAAGGTAATTTCTTAATGCTATTCTTACCATTGACCTAAAACTTACCGAAACAGCCCTTGGCCGGATAAATCCGGGTCAATTACGGTAACGTAGAATCGACTGTCTTAGGGATTGCATAGAAACCCTTATCACTATTGTCAAAAAACTGGGACAGTCGATTTTCATAGATTCACTTGAGGTGACTTTTACGCCCGCAGAATCATTCGCCATAGGCAGGAACAGAGAGAAATCACTTGATGCGAGGCGTAAACTATAACCAATCTCCCGGAGCTTCTGGCGAGTCAGTATGGATGTGTGTGGTCTTTCGTTGTCCTAATGGAACGCAATTCCTCTCCAATTGGCCAAAGATTGTTGTTTCTGGCCGATTGCTTCTACCAAATGGTCCACTTGTTGACAGTGCAATTCTTAATTAAGAGTTTTGCCATAGGGGAGAAGTTCAAAAATTCCTTGCCAATCCCATCAAACACACAACATACGGTTCCTGATCGTCAATCCTGACTTGGCCACCGTTTGCGCCGGGTCAACACGATTCGACCACGACCTTTTTCGTTTGACGTTGGCATAAGTGACTCACTTTTCATTTCCGCTTCAAAAATGGATCGTGTTTGTTGCGATTTAGCAGATATTCGGTCCCTGAGTAATTTTGCAGGGTGTCACCATACATAGAGCTTCTTTTTATATTCAGCCTTATTTAAATAGTATCAAACGGTTTTTTGTACATTGGGTAGCCTCTGGGCAATCGAAACAGTGCTTATGTGAGGTCGATATTTTCGACAATTGGTTTTACAGATCGTGGTGCATCTTTCTCATCAAAATAACCAGTACAAAATCGACGAAAAAACTTGCACATGATTGACTGCTACAATAGCAGAATTATGAAAACTGTTCAAATTTTCAGCCTTCGCCTTTATCAAAGGAAAACTGTAAAATATGGGATAGTTCCTTCTTGGTGGTGGTATTCAAGTAATGTATGCTAATGCTCTTTTGAATATAACCGTTTCTTAAAATCTGTTCACTTTGCATCCTGACTATTGGAGACTTACTACTACCAAATCGTCTCCACAACCCTGTCTGAAAACACAAAATACACTTTCATTGCTATCATTTGCTACTTCTTCAAAAAAAGCTGCATGCAGCCACCTCGACTTACCGCACAAACCAGCTAAACCACAAATAAAGCACCGCAAAAAGCACACAATCACAATACGGTTACCGGCAGTCATAACATGCCGCTGCAAGAGTGACAACAATGACAATAATAACAACAACAGCTAAAAAAACAACAGTTGCAAATCCACACAACTCCAATCCACGTGCAACAACATCCGGCACACGGCCGTTGGCGATGTCCTTGCCCTGTTCCAACTACCCACAACCAGTGTGTTGTCAAGTGTTTGCGGTGCTTGCTAGAACCAACGAGCTCAGCAACGACTATGGCACATTTTTGTGTTGCTTGTTTTGGTTTTTTTGTTGCTGCGAACCGAGTTGACGTTGACCTCAAAACACAGCGCAAGAGCCAAGCCTGCAACCGAGTGACCATGCAACAAGCCAACCAACCAAGCAGCCGACCGGGCTTCCATTCCATCGCATCCAAAAAATCATAGAGTACACCACCGAAAGCGATAACGAAAAAAGGGCGATTAAAAGTGTACCAATGCATGCTCCATTTTGCTAGCAATTGTGTTTATGTTGGTGACAGTTGACGCGCTGTGTCCGCCATTTGTTGTCGTCGTCCAATGCTGCAGGGCTGCAATTTTAATTTAAACGCGCACGTTTCGATTACTTTGGCATCGCACTTTTTTCTCACTGCTTCACATCCGCTTTCGATGATCCGGTTTTCCTTTGGCTTTAGCTTTGGCTTTGCTTTAGCTGCAAGTATTTCATTTGCGATGAGATTCGAATTTTCATTGCTCACCAGCTGTTGCGCTGTGCTTAGTTTGGTGGCTAATGGCAATTGATATCATGGCTGTGAGAACGATGTTTGGATTTTAAGGAATTAAAGTGATTGTTGCGCTACTCAGAAGATAACACCCAGGTGTCATCAATGGAAAATATTTTAATTCGAATATAACTATTGGCAATTGCAAAATCGAACTGTGGATATCCTCAGGTGCTACTAATATAAGTTTTTACTGACAGGAAGTAAGGCACAACGGTGCCTTATGGTGTACTACCCCGTTCATTGATGACGCAGTGATGTCGTACAGTAAAGATATTCTGTTGAGCGAATTTATCTGGATCACGATCTCTTTAGTAGATTTGAACGCAATTAACTCGACTTAAAACTAACAAAACTAACACTTACTTTGTAAGAACTGAGTACCCACAGAATTCATTGAAGAACCCCAGACAGTATTTTCGTCCAGTCGAAAATGCAACCTTATACAGTAATAAACTCCGAGTAAAAGATTTCAAATCTCAAAGTTAACTTAAAAGTTTCAAAGTAGTTTAATTCCGCAGCGTAACATTAGGTAAGTAAGTAAAGTGAATGTCTGTGACGCATCTAGGCAGTTAGGAGGCTTATTATAAAACCACCGGTACTGAAATCCCCATACTCTATTATGTGCTCTCTGAACCACCCCATGCATCTGATGAAGTTAATCAATACAAATTCTTTTATATGTGTAACATCCGAAAAATCGATTATTTCCTTATACAAAGCTTTGCATTCTATAGTCTGTTCTTATTCTACCTCTTGAAGGCTTCGACAATAGTCATCGTATGGTTTTCTCAGTTCCCTGGCATGTCTGCCAATTAGACTGTGACCTGTTAGCACTATTACTAGACTTCTTATGTCATTACTTTTGAATTTTAATAGTCAGCAATTGGTCCATATTCATATTTTTGTCACGATTGCTTGCTTGTTGAGCAAGTTAGGGATTGATTCCACCTACACTAATCTACAAGTATTATATTTATAACATGTTTGTCGAGTAAATATCTGCAAGTATTCAGAGGCTTATAAATTCTATCCTTTTCGTAGTCTAATAGGTGCCTGCTTGAACTATTTCATCTGCTTCACAGTTACCAATAGTATCATTATGGCCTGGAACCCATGCAGGTTTATCGGGAATTAAGATGGTAGATCCACTATGAAATCATGGCATTTTTCCACTATGATTGGTGAAACCCTAAGACATTTTAGTAGAGGCTTTTAATTCTGATATAAAATTAATGCAGTTTGTAAATATTGTGTAATATATAACCCCATTTGCAGCGTCTGCTTTGATGTAACTCGATTCCAAACTGCTGATGGAGTTTTTATCAAAAGCTATTTAAAAGAAGAAACCGCAGTACATGGCCTGCCGAGAAGTGACCACCATTAGGAACAAGTTGATTCATGTTGGAAAGAGCCAAGTGCTAATGCACACTTTTAGCCATTAATTTCTACAGACATCGATGCGTTTTTACAACAATCTAGTATACGTAACAGGATAAGACTCAGGTTTATATCCAGACTAGCTCTGTCAATCCGGCAGCGTTCCTTTAAATTATTTGGGAAATGTTTTTTTCCGAAACAACAATCACGGAAATCGAGCCGAACCCTAACTAACGTAAACTTAACTTACTTGATGTTAGGTATGAAGGGGAAATGTTTTAATAAATTAAATGAAAAATATAAGACTGCACATTTTTTTTTTCTTACATAATGTTCATTTTAACATAAATGCGAATATACAAAAAAACCTCAACTCCTCTCGTTTCCGTATATACATAAGAATATGTAAAATTTGTAGTGCTCTTTTTATAATCGCACGACTTAGAACACTTTCATTGCAAACGCAAAATAATTGAATCAATTTTATTCAAACAAATTCAATTAAAAATGTCAAGCAGATTCTACAGTGGAACTGGAAAAGCTGTGAATACATTAATTCTATTTGTATTTTTGCGATTGCATGGTTTCTTCAGCAAAGTAATAAGTGAGGAGAATAACAGAACTTGTATTTTACTTCTGTATTTGTGAATGCGAAATGCAAAAATTAATCAGTGAAGGATCGCTGTCGACTTGTGAACAAACAAGTTTGCGGTGGAACTGTTTGCGTGATACGAGCTCATTACAAAAAACATTTTCAACTCTTAGTAACTTATACTTTTGTGGTGTACAATTTTTTAGAGTGGTCTGTGGAATGAAGTTATTTTAAGAATTATTTATAAAACGATGACGAAATCTCGAGGGAGTTATTTCAGCATAAGCCCTACTCTCCGAATTCGCCCCAAATCGCCTTTTTATTATACTTAGACTTTAAGAAAATTATCGTTAAAAGAAAAGCCACGAACTTGGTCCGCCTGGTTTCTATATAACTTTCCAATGCCGTTAGTTTTTGGAATTTTTTCGCTATTTTAGCCAAAAACAATACTTTTTAGCTAATGCAGAACTTCCAGAAACTATAAGGTGTGATGAAAACATTCTAACGTCTCGACCCCATTTTTATACACTTGCAACATGTTGCTACAATATAATACATAGTTTTGTTCACCTAACGGTGGTTTGTATCACCTAAAACTAAACGAGATAGATATGGAGTTATATATTATATATAAATGATCAGCATGACGAGACGAGTTGAATTCCGAGTGACTCCGTCCGTCCATCCGTCCGAGCAAGCGATAACTTGAGTAAAAATTAAATTAAATTAAAAATACCAACCACGCCTTCTTCTCATATAACACAATATTGTATTCTATCTGATTCTTTCACTTTCCAGTATAAAAATTAAGCACCAATGAACGTATCGGGATAAAACTTTGCACGAATACTGCTTATAAAGTGGCCAGCTTATCACCAAAAATTATCCAAATCGGACCAAAACTATTCAAGCCCCCAGATACCTAATATATGGACAGTTCCTATAGCGACCTTTATATTGAAAATATCAGTCAATCTGTCAGATATTATAGAAACTCAAAAAGAATCCGTATCTGAGAGCAATATGTCCGTGTGTCAAAATTGGGTTGCTTGGATCAATAATTCCCGTAGTCTTCATATACCTAATAGAAAAAAAAATAGCAAATATCGTTCAATATGTGAATTATCTCAACGAAATTAAAATAACGTGTTTTTTCTTATCTTTGACTTTAACTAGTATCAGGATTTTTAGACCCACATAATTGGTGCTGGTATGTGAGGTATCTTAATGAAACTCAGATACCATCTTTTTTATGTAGATATCTTAACAAAATTAACTGAACATATAATATTAGACATACTGCAATTTAATGCCGAATATACATACATATGTATGTGATATTAGACTACCCAAGCCTGATAAAATTATTTGAAAATATGTTCTTGAATATACCTGAACAATGTCAAAAGTTAGTAAAAGCAGCCCAGAACTTTCCTACCCCCAATATAACAACAACAATTATACAATATCACTGTCAATAATTCTTATTAAACAAAAGGCTTTTTTGGATATTATTGACTTTACTAAACTTCAAAGGCCGAAGTAGTAATTTTGGTTCGCAACTGAACAAGATTTTTAATCCCTTTTTTTGAACTAGTATTAGACTAATAGTATATTTTGAATCACAATCAGACCGGTCACCTCTTTTACGATCTCATTATGGAAGTGAAACGTCAAACTAGTCTGAAATGTACTAGTTAACAACTTTAGTTTTCGGTGTTAAAAATAACTAGTCCGAAAAGTAGTAGTTAATGAAAATAATACTTTACTAAAAATGGTGAATTTTTTTTCAACTAAATAAATTACTCCACTACGTATGTGAAACAACACTCCACTACGTATGTGAAACAACAAACTAGGCTGAAAAGTACTAGTTCATAACTAAAATCTCGGATTGAAAATGAACTAGTCCGAAAAGTATCAGATTTGTAACAGTTCTAAAACAATTTGTTAATGTTTAATTTTATTATTTATAAAGTTAGTTTTTTTCAGATTTTTTAATAGATATTTTTCATTTTATTTTCTTCAGAAAAATTTTGATTTTCGTTCATACCCGAATTAGATTTTCCATTGCTATTTTTGAACTTGTATAAAAGTAATATATTTTTGACCGAAATAGCATTTTTAAATTGCACCTGGCATTATTCTTTAAGTGTACGGTTATACTAGTCTGAAATTCACTAGTTAATAATAAAATTTTCCATATGTAAATGAACTAGACCGAAAAGTATTAGTTTTGTACCAGTTCAAATATGACTTTTTGGTGAGTTTTTTACTATTATTTTTTCCAAGGTGTACAAGTGTATACATATTTATATATTTTAGATAAAAAAACATTACCAAGTTTTCCTGCAAAATTTTCACCGCTTTACGATTTCTTAGAATATAGATAACCGCGAGCTATTTTAACCTAAATATAAAAACATACCTACATATACCTACGACTATATACATACATACATTCATACATAAAAAGTACCTCTTGTAGTACTTATTCACTCAGCTACTGGCGCTCTAGCTCTGCCGTTGCTTGGCTTGCTTGCTCCGCAATCAAACTAACTATTGCGTCATACTTTTATGCTGATAAAATTTTCAACTTTCTTTACACACGCTTTGGCTTGCGAATTTCAGCGGTGCCGGCAGCAATTCACAGCAGTTGTTACTCATTTGTTTTACGGTGTGCACGCTAGTTGTTTGGACGTGCTGAATGCTAAGTGATACTAGAGACGTGGCAATGGAACTGCGTAGCGATGACGTTTACCGCGTGCCGGAGACGATACACTTTCCAACGGAAGAGTTAAATATACTGGAAATTTGGCGAAGAGAAAACACTTTCGATCGTTGCATGCAGCTATCCAAGCAAAGACCAAGGTAAGCAGGTAAAGTGCAGTTCTATAGACAAACTTTCACACAAACATGTGTACAAACTTAGGTATACATTTTACGACGGCCCACCATTCGCCACGGGTCTACCGCATTATGGCCACATTCTGGCTGGCACTATCAAAGATATCGTGACGCGCTACGCGTATCAGCAGGGCTATCATGTGGAGCGCCGTTTCGGCTGGGATTGTCACGGCTTGCCGGTTGAGTTTGAAATTGATAAACTTTTGAATGTCAACGGACCGGAAGATGTGCAGAAGATGGGCATAGCGGCGTACAATGCAGCATGCCGCAAAATAGTTATGCGCTATGCAAATGAATGGGAAGCGGTGGTGACACGTATGGGACGTTGGATTGACTTTCGTAATGACTACAAAACGCTCTACCCCTGGTATATGGAGTCGATTTGGTGGGTTTTCAAACAGCTTTATGACAAAGGACTCGTTTATGAGGGTGTTAAGGTGATGCCCTATTCGACTGCGTGCACTACGGCGCTTTCCAATTTCGAATCAGGTCTAAATTACAAAGAGGTAGTGGATCCTTGTGTTGTGGTGGCATTCGAAGCGGTTAATATGGCGAATACATTTTTCCTCATTTGGACAACTACACCGTGGACGTTGCCATCGAATTATGCCTGTACTGTGAATCCGAATTTGCTTTATGTAAAGGTATGTATAAATATTTGTGTATCTAGGTAATCTTTAATGGAATGAACTACAGAAAAACTATTTACAATTTTTATGAATATTACACACAACTAGTGGACCAACTAATTTTTGTGTACAATTAACGGGTACTTTTTATATAGCGATGTTGTGACTGTCAAGATTTTGGTAGGAAATATATTAATCTCATACTAATTCAGAACAGATAAAATTTAGTTCAAAAAAGCTAGATTATCAAATATAAAAATATTTAAAAACCTTTTCGAAAAAATAAAAATAATAATAATGTGTTAAAAATTCAACTTTAATAAGTTCTTACTAGTAAACCAAAACCACTACGTTAAGCTTAAACCACTACGTAAAGTAAAAAACAGCTCTTGTAAAGTATAGTTTAAAGCATTTTGAAACAATTCTTCAATAGATCGTTTTATAATTGGTATATAGTTCTGAAACTTTCGGACTAGTTCGTTTTCACTCAGAGATTATTAACTATTTGAATTACATTTGAAAATAGTTGGACGCCTCAACTTCATTGTGATATCTTATGAAATTTGCTTGGTGACATTTTGGTTAGAAATCTACCAGTTCTTTACTAGTTAAAAAGGCAAACAATTTATGTCAAATATGAACCAAAATTTGTTCTCGGATCAGTTCATTCATTACCATAAACAAGTAACTTTCTGAGTAGATTATTATTATAGAGTAATTGGATGATGTAATGCCTGATACAAATCAGGTCATTTTAGACCTAGTTCATTAGTAAACTAGTGTTTAACTAGTATTGTTTCAGAACTTTGTCTTCAGTCGGGATTTTCTAGCCAAAAATTAATACATTTCCGACTAATTAGATGATTCACTAAAAGTTTGTACACATATTGTTCTTTCATTTCAGCTTTTTGTTGTTGTTACGGTTATCTAAACTTTATAAAATCCTTATTTTAGTAGCCTCATTTGTCAAACATTTCGTTGAGCTTCTTTAAAATAAAATCGAACAGCGTTTGAATAAATTTTTTGATTTTCCATAAAATCTTTGGGTTTTTAAGGTTCCGTTTGATTATGCTCTAGAGTTTTGAAACATTTCTAAGTATATTTGTTGTGATTTCAAAAACTTTTAACAATAGTATCATGGATCATTTGATAACTACGTAGCTTGATTCCGAGCTCTTTATAAAATGTCACCTTTCTCATATTAATCATAGCAAAGACAGTCTTTAGATTAAGCAGGATTGAAAAAAGGGTTTACCAAATATCTTTCCTGTAAAAATATTATTATTAGCCCATTGTAGATATTAATTTTTTTTATTTCCATCAGGTTCTCGACAACAAAAGTAACCGCTTTTTTATATTGGGTCAAACACGCTTGAATTTCGTTTACAAAAGTGAAGACGATTATGAGATTATCACAAAATTCTACGGCAGCAGTTTGGCCAATGAACCATATAAGCCGCCGTTCACATATTTCATCAAAAGAGGTGTAGCTGTAAATGCATTTCGTATACTAGTCGATGATTATGTAACCGAAGATACCGGCACGGGCATCGTGCACAATGCGCCCTACTTCGGCGAAGACGATTATCGCGTGTGCCTCCATGCAGGTATTATAAAGAAATCCAGTACGCCAATTTGTCCGCTCGACGAAGTGGGACGCTTCACGGCGGAGGTCACCGATTTCGCGGGTATATTTGTTAAGGATGCCGATAAGTTGATAATAGCGAAACTAAAGAAAATCGATGTATTAGTCTCAGTCGGACAAGTTAAGCATGGTTATCCGTATTGCTGGCGTTCAGACACGCCATTAATATACAAGGCGGTGCCATCATGGTTTGTACGCGTGGAGCATATGTCCCAGAACTTGCAAGAATGCAGTGCGCAAACTTATTGGGTGCCGGAAGGTGTACGCGATGGTAGATTCGGAAACTGGTTGAAGGATGCGCGCGATTGGGCGGTAAGTATTTTAAAATTTTCTTATATGTAATTATTCAAGTAAATTAGGTACTAAATTGTCATTATTTGAATTGAAGATCCACCTTCTAATGTTATACTTTTTATAGGAAAGCTTTCAGCTTAGACTTTTGCTCGAGTATAAAGACATATGCGTCAAAGAGTCCTTAACATTGTGAACCTAAAATTAGAAAAATACTGGATTAAAGGAGGGCTTTAACTCTCTAAGTTGCTTAAAATCTTAAAAACTGAGACAAAACTCGTTAAGAAGTACCGGTATATACTTCAGTGTCGAGAACACTACTTGCATCATACATAAAACAAGAAAAAACGTTAACTTCGGTTGCACCGGAGCTATAATACACTAGAAAACACAAAGGCTGCTTACAAGAACTTGATTCCGATCGTTCAATTTGTATTGCAGCTATATGATATAGTTATCTGATCTGAACAATTTCTTCAAAGAATACATTGTTGCCTTAGACAACAACTCATGCTTAATTTCGTTAAAATACCTCGTCAGATTAAAAAGTTTTCCATGCAAGCTCTTTATTCCGATCCTTCAGTTAATATGGCAGCTATATGCTATAGTTATCCGTTTTATTCAATTTCTCTGAAGATTGCATTATTGCCTTAACTAATAATCCATGCCGAATTTCGTCAATGTATCTTGTCAAATGAAAGAGTTTTCCATACAAGCACTTGATTTCGATTGTTCAGTTTGTTTGACAGCTATATGCTGTAGTGGTCTGATAACGGCCGTTCCAACAGATAAGCAGCTTCTTAGTGAGAAAAAGACAGATGCGAAAATTCAGATCGATTGCTTAAAAATTGAGGGACTAGGTCGCATATATATAAATCTACTCAGCTCATCATGCTGATCATTTATGTATTGTATATATTTTATAAGGTCTCCGACGTTTCTTTCTGGGTGTCACAAACTTCGTGGCAAACTTAATATACCCTGTTCAGGGAATAAAGATGAGACTTAGTCTTTAAAATTTTATACAGTTTATTATGTAAGTTTACATCTTCTTTAATTTGAGGACACTCAGATTTCTGACAGATATTTTCGTCCGCTATACAGGGTGGGACAAGTCTTAAAGCTTAAAGTGTCATAAGATAGATACTTTTTTTCTGAGAAACGCGAGTAAAAAACTGGGAAGGAAGCTGCCGACTGTCCAAATCAGTCTCCCTGCAAAGGAGTCTGTGGACTTAATTAAAACTAACATGATTACATTATAAAAAAAAGAGACTGTAAGTTCTTTGGTTACGTTCTTTTGCATGTTCAATGAAAAATTCCTTATTTTATTTAACAATCTATTAACACATCTTAATACAATATTTTACACGCCCAAATTTTCACTTTCAGGTAAGTCGCAATCGTTACTGGGGCACTCCCATTCCCATCTGGCGTTCACCCAGTGGCGATGAGGTCATTTGTGTGGGCAGCATTGAACAATTGGCAGAATTATCCGGAAAGCACATCAAAGATTTGCATCGTGAGACAGTTGACGAAATAGAAATCCCCTCTGCCATTCCAGGGAATCCGCCATTACGTCGTATTAGCGCCGTCTTTGATTGTTGGTTCGAATCTGGCTCAATGCCGTATGCGCAACAACACTTTCCGTTTGAAAATAGCAGCGATTTCATGAGCAACTTTCCGGCCGACTTCATTGCCGAAGGCATAGATCAGACACGTGGTTGGTTTTATACGCTACTGGTTATTTCGACGGCTCTATTCAATAAGGCGCCGTATAAAAATCTTATTGCGAATGGGCTTGTGCTGGCCGCAGATGGACAGAAAATGTCGAAACGTAAGAAAAATTATCCAGATCCAATGGATGTGCTGCGTAAATACGGCGCCGATGCCTTACGTTTGTATTTGATAAACTCGCCGGTGGTGCGCGCAGAGAATTTGCGCTTCAAGGAGGAGGGCGTGCGTGACATCATTAAGGATGTGTTGCTGCCATTATATAATTCGTATCGCTTCCTACTACAAAATATTGCACGTTACGAGAAGGAAGATCTGCGCGGCTCAGCGCGTTATTTCTACGACAAAGAGCGTCATGCGCGCGCACTGGTACACACCAATTTACTCGATGTTTGGGTAGTTTCAGTAAAGGAGTCTCTTATTGACTTCTTCGCCAAGGAGATGAAACTGTATCATTTATATACAGTAGTGCCGCGCTTGACTAAGTTTATAGATCAGTTGACGAACTGGTAAATCATCGATTTAATACCACTTACATAAACAAGAAATAATTTATTTTATCTTTTAAGGTACATACGCTTAAACCGTCGCCGTCTTAGAGGTGATCAAGGTGTCGTGGACTGCCTACAATCTTTAGATACACTTTACTCGGTACTCTTTGAGTTGATTCATCTACTAGCGCCTTTTACGCCATTTCTCTCCGAATATATTTACTTACGCCTGTTACCGTTTCAAGCGAAGGCATCTGAGGTTGTAGCAGCAACTTCGGTGCATCATCAAATGTTACCAAAAGCGAATTTGAAGCTAATTCGTCTTGATATTGAGAAATCGATGACTTTGATGCAAACCATTATCGAATTGGGTCGAGTGATGCGTGATCGTCGCACGGTGCCACTAAAATGTCCACTCTCAGAGATAATTGTAATCCATAGAGATCCAGAAATTTTAACCTCTATCGAGCGATTGTCCAACTTTATACTTAATGAGCTAAATGTACGCAAGCTGACACTCAGTTCCGATAAAAGTAAATACGGTGTTACATTACGTGCGGAGCCGGATCATAAGGTAAGTTATGTTAGGAAGTATAGTATTGTATATTAGAATATTTAAATTCGTTGAGTGCGGAACTCCTAAGCTTCTATTATTGATTTTCATGTGAACGGAATCAGAAGTTGAACCTAAAGCGACTTTAAAGAGACGGACTTTTTCTGACCCAACCGCCTTACCTTCCATTGGTCATCTAGTTCAGAACTTAAGATTTTATCGTTAATTTTCTAGTAGCTGGACCTTATTAGTATTTGAGGAGTTGAACTCACAGAATATTTTCGGAAGAAATAGAATTACGAATGCGTACCCAAAGAATTTATTATACTCAGCTCAGTTAAAAGGACGCCGAGACCTAGTAGCCGTAGCAGAGTAAAGTGAATTAATTATTATCACATAATAGGTCGTGGGCTCAAATCTCATCTAAGCAAAAATTTGATAAATCTGGTTATATAAAGGGGATTAAGTAGTAGTGGTCTCATGAAAAAACATCTAATAAAAGCTGGCAACTCCCTTTTGTCGAAAACTTGGAAAAAGTACCAAAGCTCGGTCCAAAATCTAGCGATAGGTGTAAAGGCCAACTTTATTATAAATTTTGATTAATAATACTTAAACCATATAATACTTATAAAGGTATTTATCGGATTATTAGTGCCAGATATATTGATAGGCTATTAGTTAACGGTAACAGGCGTGGATGCAATCTTTAAGACTCCGTCTCTAAAAAAAACTATAACTTTCCATTTCTATTATTTTTTTTAGATATTGGGTCAACGCCTCAAAGGGGACTTTAAAACTGTAATGAGTGCAATAAAATCATTAAACGACGAAGAAATACAAAAGCATCTCTCCAAAGGCTACTTCTCTATAAAAACTCATCGCATTGAGCTCTCGGAAGTGCGTTTAATTTATTGTGTGTCACAAAATTTGAAGACGAGTTTGGAAGCAAACAGTGAAAATGACATACTCGTCTTACTGGATATGACACCAAACGCCGAGTTATTGGAAGAGGGTTTAGCACGTGAGATCATCAATCGTATACAAAGGCTAAAGAAGAAAGCGAAATTGGTACCAACCGATGAGGTGGTAGTATTCTATCGATTAATCAAAAGTGATAACCATCAATCGGAGAGTGCACCGACTAACGAAATAACAACCGTTATAAGAAAATACGAGAACATGATTACAACAACCGTTAAATCGGCGCTTTTATTGTATAACGATGAAGATAAAAGCAAGCTAAACGTTATTATAACGGAGTTAGTAACTGTTAAAGGCGTAAATTTAGAACTGACTATTTGCTCACCAGAAAAGCATGGGACGAAAGAAGTGGAAAGCGTGAATATTATGCTCGCCGATAACCTCGACCCACGTTTTGGAGGAAATAGACGAACAAGTTTGCATTTGAGGAATCTCGAAAGCGGAGAATTTATTACACTAACACAACTGCATGCCGAGGTCAATATGAACTTTGGCCTTTATGGCGTGAGCTATAACGTTTACTGCTTTGATGAAATACAACAACAAATACATATGTTAAGTGCGTGTCAATTGAATGAAAAACTAAGTGGGAAGCTATTGGTGGTGGCGCGGAGCGCGAGTGATGTGAGCACTTTTTCCAGCAGATCATGTAATGAAATAAGATGCATAAATACATAAGTATATACACACGCACATATATTAAACTAATTGTTCGTGAAAATTTGCAAACATTGCTTATAATTTGTTAAAATATGTATAGCAGTTGGAATTATTTAATAAATTTAATTTATGAACAAGAATTTGATAGAAACTTAATTGTTATTCATTTTATACAATATAATGCAGAACGCATATATGATATAATTTGAGATATCAACGTCTAAGTATTTTTAACCGGATTTAGTTTCTCTCCTTGTGATCTGCCGCACCCAGTAAACAATTGGGATGCATACAGTATCAAAGTATTTATGGCTTTAAAAATCGCAGATGTTGATCTCCCCATTTTTGATTTTTAGTTCCTAAAGTTTCGTGAAACCGTCTTCTAGAGTACTCTAGTCTTGAGGTCCGAATTCTGAGCGATTTTAGCTTATAATTTTAATTTTTTTTATTTTTACGCTCTATTTTTTTCATATTTTTATCCCTGAAAAGGGTATATTAAGTTCACCACGAAGTTTGTTACACCCAAAGGGAGACCCTACAATATATATATATATATATATATGTATATGATTTATCGGCGTCACGAGCTGAGTTGATCCGAACAATATGTATTTCTTCACTTTCTGGTATATCGATCTGAAATTTTGCACACATCCTTTTCTCCCAAAGATGCTGATCATTTGTCGGAACAGCAGATACGGAAGTCAACGTTTTTTCTTGTTTTATTCATATTTTACATAAATTAAATTTCAAATATTTTTAATTGTATTAAAGTTATGTGACCTTGAAGTAGACGTGAAAAAATGGCGCCGCTCTCGTCGTCACGATTTCCATCCTTGTGATCATCTCAAAAATAAAACAATAACGGATTTTTATTTATTATAAAAGATTTAATACAATGGATTTCTTTTCCAATTTTAAACTCTCTCAAATTTTTAAAACGACTGCAAAATAATATTTATTATTTATACTTACGATTGAGACGTTTTTAAAGAATATCCATGCCAAATTTCAAGTCAATCGATCTTAAGATATCGCATGGAAATAAGTAGTTGGAAACTAAAACCACTAAAGTTTTATTCAGCACTAAATCGCCCGAGTTGCCAAAACACTAAAGCAAATGTTTTTTTAAATCATTTTAGGGAGATATTTTTGAATATCTACAATATTGAAATATGAGAATTTTCGATTCAAATTTGCAATATCTTCGGAAGGGTATAAGGTGGAGGAAGATTACCTACTTAGAGTAATAGGTTTATTCACGCAATATTTAAATTTTTGCTAATTGAGTCCAAATTACGGTATAATTTTATTGGTGCCAATTTCCTAGAGGGTTAGCTGTCAAACCAGCTATCAAAGTAAACATGCAAGGACCTATTACTGTACAACATTTACAAATCTTGGTATTTTTTTACAACTACATTACTGTTGAGCACAAACAGATACCTTAATTGAAGTATAAAAAATTTTATAAATGAAGTTCAGACTCCTTAGCCTCGAAGATATTATTGACCCATAGATTTTTAAAAACTGAAAAGGAGCCAATGTATCGTCAATGTTAAGCTCTCCAAGCACATGGTCCCTTATATTTCTAGTTCCTCACGTCAGTCGGCACAACAAGAGCTACCGCGCTTGAAATCATAACTTTATTAGCACGAAGTTTTTCTAACAGAAGATTCTCAAGGAATCAGTTGGCCAATTGGTAATCTAGGTCATGTGATTTGACGCCATTAGAATATATTTTAAATTAACCATGATGATAAACCACATACGACTAATCGGAATTTGACCACTTACTGATGAGTTTAGGCTGACTAAGATGGACAAATAGGCCCGATTTCTAGTTCATCCACAATCCTTTAGATAAACTTTTTTTATTTAATAGGCTAATTTTTCTTGTTTTTTCTCTTCTATCGCCACTTTTAATATTAATCTTATTTGCCACTCCTCTCATAATCAATCGTGCTTATGCGAAATGAAAGGAGGAAGGGAGTTTAAGAGCTTTTTAGAATTTCAAGTATATAAGCATTCTGAGTATATCTCTAGTAAATTTCCTTGGTAAGAAAGGTAATGATGAAAAAAATTAAGATGGAAATAAAAGGACCGCATGTGGTTGGCATTCTTAAACGTGCTTATTTATTTTTAAATAAGGAAAAAACGAATATTTACAAAGACGCAACAATTTTAGTAAAACCAAGGAGATAGGTAACACCTATAGTTAAAATTGTAACTGAAATATAAGGTCTATGTTAGTAAAAAGAAATTCATTATTTATAGTTTATATGTAATAAGAATGTAGATTTAGGTCAAATATGCACCGTTTTGTTCTGTAACTTGTTGCCATTTTAAAGGGAATTTCATCTCATAGAAACCGTCATCCCTATTGGCAAAAAAATGGGACAGTCAATTTTCACAAGCCTCTCTTGAGGTGAATTTTTTACCAGCAAAATAATTCGTCATATGAGGTAAATATATAAAAACCTCTCAACTGAGCTCCTGATTTTCTGACCTATTGATGTGTGTGGTCTTGAATGAAGAGTTAAGTCGTAGTAGATGATTCCCTGCCAATCTCATCAAATACGTAGCAAAACCTTATCGGTCGTCAATCCTGGCCTGGCCACTGTTTGCGCCGGGTAACCGCTGTCGTTACCGTAAGTTACCAAATTTTTATTACCCGTAACCATACGCTCCAGAAATTTTCGATTTTGTGGCTATTCGCAGCGCAGTCGCAGATGCAAATTCCGTCCAATGAGATAAATTTATTAGAATACAAATTTTTATGTTAAGAATGGAATTTGGTATGAACTGGAATTTAAACAATGTGAAACTTAAATACAAATAATTTAACTCAACTAGGAATTATATTATAATTTTTGTTACAAGAAATTTATGAAAAAGGAACGTATTGGTATTGGAACAATATTTATAAAATCCTCTTTTTCTACGAATATCACTTCTTCCGTGAAATTATGCCGATAGTAATTTACGTTGCTCACCAACCAGATTTATGTGTTGCTACCTTTTTACGGTACTTTTTTTGCCAATCAAATTATGCCAAAAGAATTTCTCTTTGCTCTTTTTTCAAATTCTAAGTCACGTCTACCATTAAATAAAGATAATCGTAGATTTTCCATTCCATCCAATTCTTCAATTTCATACGTCAATTCTTTGTATTAAACTTTAAATATATTAAATGACATGAACTTTTATATATGTTCTTCCGAGAGCTGAGCAGATAAATTAGCATTAGAGTGGTTTATATCGGGATCAAAATTGTTTCAAAGCTGGAATCTTTGTGTAAATAAATCACCTAATTATGTATGTCCCCTCATGTTATTTTAATACTCTTTTCCACTATGTGGTTAACTTCTTAAACCATGGACTCTTTAAAAGCATATTGAAACTATGTATGTACGTTATTTCTCGTCGGCAGACGGTTTTTTCATTAATAATAAATGAAAATATAGAAGGTGGCAGGTCTTCGGTGTTTACAAAATACTGTAAATAAAGATTCTCTCTTTCTTATTATTCATTGTTCCTTTTATAGAAAGGATTTGTGAGAGATTTTTGAAAACTCTTTGACATAGTTCTAATATATCATCTATCTCAAAGTGTTTTCAGTAGTATTTCAGTTGAAAGCTCACGGTTATCATAAGATGAATGAGGTTTATTAGAACCCCGGCAAGTAAAAATTCATTCACCACATATACCTAACCTATGCATCTTAACAAGAACAACGAGCAAGCAATTATATATAAAGAGCTTGTTTACTATTGCATTATTTCTAATTTATTCACATTTCTTACATCCAAAACAAGTAATTTCTAATGATGGTTTGTGTTGTATGTGTTTGCCTACGTACTCGCATATCTGTCACACTAATTCCAGCAACAAAGTAGCAGCTCGCAATGGCTCATGTCAAATACCGGCACTAAATCAGTTGCTTTACAGCTTTGCAGTACATCCTCACAACCACTTTGCACAACTTTAATGCAAGTGCACACACCCCCGCAAACCCGCTCTTCAAAATTTTCGACTGAGTCAACGCAATCTTTAAGTGCTGAAACATGTTCAAGTATGTTGTAATTCGAGTGCTCGAACAAAGTGTTTGTATGTAGGTGCATATATACATACGTATTTACTTATATAAATGCAACATTTCTATGTGTGACAACTCAGCTGTCGCAGCATCTTCAATTTATCTTCACTGTGGCGTCTGCCATGCACCGTTAGTCCTTAATACTTGCCTTATTTCCCGCTAGAATGCAACACGATGCGAGATATTTTAATTGTTTTTGTTGTTATTGCTGTAAACTTGTTGTAAATATTTGTTGTTGTAAAAACAATTTTTTTGTTGTTGTAAAAAAAAATTGTTGTAAAAAGTGAATATAGTTGCTGTTGTTCTTGTAGTAAAAAGTAATATTGTTTATGTTGTTGTAACAAAATATAACAATTGTTGTTGTTTTTGTTTAAAATAAAAATTGTTTTAAAAAATAATGAATATGAATGAATGAAAATAATGTAGTAGTTGTTGTAAAAATAAATCATTGTTGTTATTGTAAAAAAAATTATGTTGTTGTTCTTCCTGTAGGAAGAGATAAATAGTGTTGTTGTTGTAGCATATCCTGCATTCGCCAATACATGTATATTTGCATGCATATCTATCTATGTATATATGCCTGTGTGTTTGCTCGCCTACTTAAGTAGGTAAATGCAAGTTTCCGTTGTATTTGTCAGCGGTCGCCCACGTCTGTCACAGCTCAACTACCTGCGCGCCACCCACCATTTAACCAGCCGACAAGCAGTCTTCGCTCTTACTAATTCGAAATGTTATATATTTTTCTCATTTCTTTTTCTTTTTGTTTTTTATTCAACCGCTTCGGGTCATGAGTGTGTGTCGCAATTTCCACAAGTATCTTTTAACACTTAGTTCCGGCAGTTTTCTTCACCTTACACTTGCACACACACACACATATGTATGTATATAGAACAACTGAATAACATATCTGAGTAACATATGCGCTTATATATTAGTAATTATATACATATACTTGTATACACTTGCACCCGCTGGCACACATTGCAACCGCACAAGTAAGCCAATCCCGCACAGGGTTTTGTGGTTAAAGTGCTTTTG